CAAATGACTAAGTTCTTGTTAAAGGGATATCAGCAAAGTGCTATGTGCAGTTTCTCATATAAGGTGTCCTTCTTTACCTCCTTTTCTTGGCTGGAATGCAGTTGTGATAACTGAAGCCCAAGCAGCCACCTTGGACTACATGGGAAACTATGTGCTGAGGATGGTGAAGCCACACAGGAGAGCTGAGACCAAAACATGACGAAACAGCTCTGCCATTCCCTGAACTGCTTACCTTCATATGCATAAAAGAGAATTTCTATCTTAAGTCACTGTCATTTTTTTCAACTGAAACTAATCCTGAATTATGCGCTTGAGCTACATTGTTCTCATTGAGATGTGCAGTAAATATGAAATGCACATTGGATTTTAGAGGCAAATGAAAAGATTTTATAAAATATCATCAATAATATTTATGCTGATTATATGTTAAAATGATAATACTTAAGCCAATATATATTGTCTTAAAATCATATTATTTTAATTATATTTTCTGGGTCACCTTTTCAAATGTGACTACTAGAAAATTTTAATTTATGTAAGTGCCTCACATTCTGTTTCTATTGAGCATTGCTAGGCTGATGCCACTCTACTCTGTTTCTGCATCTGAACTAGAGAATAGATGAGGTTCCTGAGGCTAAGAGGAGCCATACGACTTACCTAAGTTCCCATGTCCATTAGATTCCAGGACCAGATTCAAGCCCAGATCTATTTGGTGCAACTTCAGTGACTTCACCAAACACTACCTACTGTGTACCTCAACTGGCGCCGTTGGGGTCAGTATAGCAGACAGAATACTACCCCAAACACTAATTTATTATATGCAGAAACTGCTGGTGGCTTGCAGGTTTACTGACTTCCACTCAAAATGTATTTATAAGCTGATGAATTCTATAGTATCATTCTCAAACACATATTCCCCAGCACATAAAAATAGAATGCAATCTATTGAAAAGGGCTATGAAATACAATTTGCTGAATGCTTCTGCTGCCTTTGATTCAGAAAGAAGACATTTAATTTGGAAAACTTTGCCACAGGCATCCAGTGAGAGAGCTGGAGGCCCTCATGGCAAAACGTTCCTTGGTTGCTTTACCTCACTTTGCTGAAAGCTTAAGGCCTCTAACCCGTGTGACCAAAGATGCCCCATGGGTGGTGCCTGGGTAAGAGCATAAACCATTTGGCAGCATATTTTCCTTTATCTGGCTGAGTCAGGCATCCTCTGCAGGTAACGAGTATGTTCAGTATTATTTACACTTCTACTCACCATTTTCCCATGTCTTTAAAAAAGGTGGCAGTTTGGCTCATATACTTGTTCTGAGGAAAAGGGGCAGTTTCTGTTTGGAAAGGCCTGGCATCTCCAGCTTTCTTGATTTCTCCCTAAAGACAGTTGTAGACAGGAGCACTGTAACGTAACTAAGGTGAAGGGACGTCAGCTTACTTTAGCCACAGGGTCCTCCATTATTCTGCTTCAGCGCTAGGCTAGACACAACTCTTCCTTGGGGTTCTCCAAGGGATTCTAAGAATATGACAGCCACACTTACCAAATGAACTTGGATGCAATCATTTTAATCTTCTTCTAGCTCTACGTATTGCCACAATTGGCCAGAATGGTACCCAGACTCTTCAATTGCCTATGGAGGTACAGCATGAAACTAACGAGCTGTTCATTAATGCATTCATTGCCTGCTCTCTCATTCCTGTGGCTTCTGTTCTTGGTTTAGAAGCCGAATTAACAAGTTTTCTCCTAAGAGGTATATCTGTCCTGCAGCAGTCAGCTCTTTGAACATTTAACTTTATCTTCCAAATCATTCCAGAAAACACTTAATGGCTCTGGGCCCAGACCTGACCCCTGCAGATCCCATTTACAAGGACTGTCAAAGACAGATGAATCACCACCAGTAAGTCCTTTCTGCATTTGGCTTCCAAATATGGAAGTGGCTGGGCAACTGTGGGTCATTAGACTTTTGCAAATGGAATACCCGCAAAGATATTTTCAATAATGCAACTGAAGGACAGTGTGTGCCCCTGACTGCAGATGCTAATCTCGGAGGGACAAAAAGCTGTATTCACATGAGATATTTGCTAAGGACAGAATGAAAAGACTGCTACCAACTGGCCTCTTTTTCTTCATATTCATCATGCCCACTAGGTATAAAAAATGATGCTCAAATTTGCTGCACATTCCAATACAATAGGCTAGCTTGTTTTCTTTTCAATTGAATCTATTTGCAATTTTTAATTCCTGAATGAACTCACTCTAAGGAGGCTTACTGTTTTTCTGTTTTTTGTTTTAGATTGGGTTGGGTGTGTGTTTGGGGCCGTGTCTAAAATTGATGTCTCAATTGCCTTCAGGGGCCTGTTAATGTAAAAATGTGAAGTTGCGGGCCGGGTGCGGTGGCTCACGCCTGTAATCCCAGCACTTTGGGAGGCTGAGGCAGGTGGATAATGAGGTCAAGAGATCGAGACCATCCTGGTTAACATGGTGAAACCCTGTCTCTACTAAACATACAAAAACTTAGCTGGGCATGGTGGCGCGTGCCTGTAATCCCAGCTACTCAGGAGGCTGAGGCAGGAGAATTGCCTGAACCCATGAGGCGGAGGTTGTGGTGAGCCGAGATCGCGCCATTGCACTCCAGCCTGGGTAACAAGAGCAAAGCTCCATCTCAAAAAAAAAAAGTGAAGTTGCTGGTTTTAAGACATTAGGGAATGGAGGAGTAACAGACTGGAGTTTTTGGCCTCACTAGAAGTGTGTAAATGTAGTTTTTAAAATACACACATACTGCACTGGCCAAAGGAAAACATGTTGTTTTAGATTCCACTGAAAAGAGGCCAGTTTGTGACCTCAAACCTTCTTTGCAGAGTCTGAATTAGAGGTTCAAATGTGGGGCAGAGGGGAGTGGCAATTATTTTCTTAAATTGCTTCTGATTCTGATATCTTGCCTGCTTCTCTGGTTGAGAATAGTCAAATTCAACATTAGCCAATTCTTGTATAAACCTTCACCGTTTATATATTGCCATCGGGGCACACTCACATCCATGAGGTGCTTCCCCACACAGCACATGTATCCACTACTCATTGCAGATCCAGATCATATTAACAGAAATCCAGTGTGATCTGAAAGGAATCAGATGTCTCTGGTTTTTACAGCTGTCTGGAGACAAAGGCTGCCTACCTGCTGAATTTCAAGTACTTCCGGCCTCTCTTTTTGGCCTATTTTGATCACATTGGTTTTCCCCTAAATAGAGGGTGATGAAATCACCTTGAGCTATTGCCAAGGCGAGCAGGGCTGCCTGTTCTAGGCCTTTATCCTGAGTGTAGGGAAGGCAGACGATCTTTAAATTGCTCATTTTGCCTGAATGCTCTCATTAGAGGCTGAGGAATGATTTTATACTTTCCGTTTTATACAGTCCAAATCTGAGGTTTAGTTGACTTAGCTGAACTCAAGTTCAAATCTCTAGAAAAATACAGCCAAAGACAAACTTTTAGTGTCATTTGCTATGAGTGTTTAGTGGTCAGTGGACAGTGGTAACAGCAAGTTGTCTCTTAATATCCCTTTTCCTTTATCTACAGAATAATGGGACTTTGAATTTTAGTTGGGCTCATGGTTTCCAATAAAAAGATGAAATATTTCAAGTAATGTGATTGACTTCCAGTCCACAAGATATGAGAGGAAATAGTATGTACTATTTCTTGGAAGTATCCTTAAAGGAAGGTCTGTTCCTTTCACCTTTTCTTCTCTCGACTGGTTGAAATTCAAGTGACGATGGCAAAGAAACAGCAGCTATTTGGGCTATGAAATGATTCTGGGAATGTATGTCATGCATCATGGAAGAAAGCAATAGAAGGAAACTGTGTCCCTACCATTGTGTAGGGCACCACCACCTCTGGTTCCCCCATCTGAACATTTACATGAGAGGGAAGTTGGTGTCTATCTTGTTTATTAATAAACTTTCCCTGGTTGCTTTACCTCACTTTGCTAAAAGCTTAAGGCCTCTAACCCCTGTGACCAAAGATGCCCAAAGGTGGGGGTGGGAGAGACAGTTTCCATCGCTCACAGCCAAACCTATTCCAAACAACTACAGAAGGTATTAGGTGGGTGCACGGGAGCAGGGCTCGGAAATACCTCACACTATCCCTTTAAGGTAGAGAAGGGTCAAACATCATCATGATTTTACTGCAGGAAACTCCTTCACAGAGGTTTTAATCAAGATTCTCATTCCATCTTCCTTCTTTTTGATCCAGGAATCCCTTCTTTCCTATCCAGGTCTCAGCTCCAGTTCTCACCTTTTGTCTCCATCACTCCTCACAACACTTAACTATATTTTGCCTTTTACTTGTGTTTTTGGTCTTAGGTAGACTGTGGGAACTCAGAGATTTAAAAAACTGTCTCTTTTGTAACCACTTTTCCCACTTACAGTGAAAACAAAGCATGACTTAAATTTCAGATACTCTGTATGCTCTATAATTGAATTAATTTGGAATGCATTTTTAAACCCCACCTACTATCTATACCACTTCCTATGTTTTTTTCACTGTGATCTTCAGACTTTCTGTTCTTTCAAGAAATTATCTCCAGAGGGGACTGGATTTTCTAAAATAGAAACTCTTAACTTGAGGAGGAGGAAGAGGGAAATTATGAGTCCACCAACTCTTCGCAAGTTTTGTATGTGGAAATGTGAGCTTTTGTCTGGAGAGGAAGTCAGTAGCTTTCATTAGAATTAAAAAAAAAAAATAATGACCCCCACTGGCCTATAGCAAACAAAAAAAATCTTTGGCTAAAATAATACCTAAAATTGGGGATGAAAGAAGAAATGAGATTTACTTGAATGAGTCACTTCATAAAGAAATTAAATCCACATATAGATTTATACAATTTCTACTTCTAAAGTTTTTCCCCCTCCCAAATGCTTAATTTTCTCTCCCTAGTTTCCAGAAGACCTTAATCCTTAATCTCAACAGAAGAAGCAGCTAAAGAGAAAATATCAAAGATACACTGGCAACAAACTGAAGCAATGCTTTATTGCAACCACAAAGCACCAATTCAACAAGGCGTTGACACACAGAGATTGAACAAATGTCTCTTTGAACAGAGATGTAGCAAGCCCACTTTTTCCAAGTTCTTAAAAACAAGTACTTAAACCAGGAAGTGAACAAAGCATAGGACAATTTAAAAAATTACACCATCATAAAGGAATATATATAAAAATATTCTGTACTAGTAACAAGGCTTTTTGACCTATAACTCTCAGCAAATTGCTTCAGAAACAAATTATTATAAATAAAACCAAGAAGTTAAAAAAAATGCTTTCTTCAAAAACAAAGAACCAATTTAAAAGAAAATCTGTGCAGAAAATACCATTACCCCATTTGAAAGCCAGCTGGATATGGATGGATACCCTCAGTACACAATGGAGCTTCTCTTTCCAGAGCTACGTGTCTGCTCCTGAAAGGGCCATGATGCATGTTCATTTCAAACACGGCAGCGTAACCCAATAAAACCTTAATAAGGTCAAGTGGAGAACCCTCTATAAAAAAGGGTGTCGGCAATTCCATCCAAGTAACACAAGCTCTAAGGAGCAGAGGAATTCAAGGGAGACAGCAATCCCTTTCTTCTTTCTCCCCCTCCCCAAATGTTCTTGTTTTAACTCTTCCTAAGTCTGTAACCAATACATAGTCATTCAATTAAATTCTTTTTTAAAGGATTTTGGGAAAGCAATCTATAAAGAGATGACGAAAATCCTTATGATTTCAAAGCCTTTCTGGGGAGGAGTGTCTAATCGTGTCAAAGATCATTCTATTTAACACATTCCGTGAGGAAAACAACCCTGTGCACATCTTGTCCTTGCTCCTCCTGGTTGATTTCAGGTCAGCTGATGAATTGCCTAGTCTATCCAATAGGATAACGTTTCATTTGATTGAAATTCTTTACATATACACATGTATGTATTCTGTTTACAAAGTTTCATCACATGAAACTAAATTATGTCATTATGTATTTTTTGAGGTCTAAGACCCCAATTTGACTGTACTATGAAGAGTTGTTCTTTAAATGCTTTGTCTGCAGAGGTTTTACATGATATTCGTAGATTTTCAGAGCAGGCCCCAATTTTAACTGAAGTCCTGTCAACACATCATTTCTTGTCATCAATAGCAGGGATTTTCCATCAATTTCCTATAATAGAAGCAGAGGGTAAAGCCAACATGTGAGTCCAAAAGCTCAAGGATAATGAAGAGAAAGGAAGTTCAGAAGTAAAAGTCATACCAATTGTGCCCAAGCTAAAAACATTATGTTTGTAGTCGTGCCAAAATGGAAAAAATGCAATCTTCTATTTTTATCTTACATCTTTCAGCTTTATTTCGGCATTAAACATAATCCATAGCTGATCTTGCTTTTGAGCTCCTATCACAAACATCACATCTCAAAAAAACAGATAGCAAGCTTACAGCATGTATCCTTAAGGATCAAAGATGTTGCTTCTGAAAGGAATAATGACACTTTCCGTTTTTAAAACCTATTAAAGTTTATGCAGAATTTTCTGTGAAGTTAATTTCTAAAACAGATGATCATCTCTAATTTACAGGCAAGCCAAGGATCAAGCGAGAAGTTCACTTGCCTAAGATCGTGAAGTTGGGAAAGGAGTGAATAGAATTTGAACTCTCATATACCTGCAGCCAAAGCCAATGTTATTTTTATAATACCACTCTGCTTCTTTTGATACTTAAATATATGTGTTTTAGATGGTCCTATGGGGACTAGAGTCTTAGGTTTCCTGGAGTCTTGACAATTGCAACAATGGGGATTAGAAAAATGACTCACACTTTGGGAGACTTTCCTGCCCTTTAAAGGGGTAACCATCCACCTCAACTCAAAATCAACCTCTCCAAGATGAGTTCCCCTACCACACTCTTTCTCAATGGATCCTCAAACTTCCAAATAAGGTAGTGAGGGGTATAGGGCCCTGCCAGCTGAAAATCCCTTGCCTATTCTGCTCGGAGTCCTTTCCCTGCACCCTTAGGCACAGAGTCAGGTATACTACATTCTGGAGAAACTACAAAGCCTTGGGAATAAAAACAGGCTTCTCACAAAAGAGATGAAGATCCCATACATACAAAGTGGTTTGACACTTTTGGAAAGGAAGCACTTAGACGAATGCTGAATACCACATTATTTTTGTTGTTTTTTGTTGTGGGAACCTTATGTCTCTTAAGAACATGAGCTGGTTCTTAGGTGACTTGGGTTCAAGAGATAAACCAGCTGTGCTTGGCTGGTGAGTTGTGACATTTCTGTTCATGGTTTTACCCACACACTTCTACACCTACCTCTTCCACTGACCGATAGACATGGGGACACCACGCGTAGCTGCAACTACATAAAACAAGACTCCCTCCCACATTATCCCAGGGTGGCTCCTCCAACTCTCATGTGCCTTGTTTGCCAGGCTGGGAAGAAAATGTGCTTTGAATGCCTAAAAATGTGGGAGAAATAACAGTAGGCTAGGCGGCTGAAGAAACACCCACTTTGTGACCTGAGGCAAGTCCCTTCTCTTCTATTTCTTCCTTGGTAGGGTTTCTGACAAGATTCTATGAGAAATTGCTCTTGCAAATGCTCCCTGAGCTATGAGTTATACAATCACTTGTCATCATCCCTTCCATCATTCTCGACAGGACCAGGTCCTCATTTTACTTGCCAACCACCTAATATGAAACAACAGAACAAGGAATTACTTCTACCTGGTCTATGGTGGTTTTGAGTCTGGGAAATCTTTCTTCTATCAGCTACCAGAACACAAAATATCTCACAGTAGTTTGTGAGAGACCGTAACACATAAAAAAGCAGTTGATTGATAGGACAAGAATCGAAAATTTCCTTAAGGACACAGGAATTGACCCAATAATCCTAAAGTACTTTTCTTCCTATTTAGGCAACTAGTAATCCTAGAGATTGCCGATTAGTGAAACCTGCAGGTCTGAGAGTTGGCGGAGGAGCCTCTGGCCCCTGGAAAGCACAGTAGCTGTGCTGAAGACACTGTGAGGTCACAGAGACTAATTTAGAGGTGACCTTAGAGCTCAGCTGTGTCTTGCACATGGGCTCAGAATGTTTTGCCGAACAGCAAAGCCCTTCCTGCCCTCCATCTTGCCTCAGCTGTTGTGTGCTCACACTTCACTTACTACATGTTTTAAATAGGCATCAGGAAGAGATGACACTGCTTTCATTTCTATACACCAAGAAAACTTCCTCAACTAACTCAAAGTGAATTTTTAAAAAAATCTTTGCTGGCAAAAAGTCCTTTGACAACTCAGCATTTCTGTCAAAAGCCAAATATGCCTGTGAAAAATGCTGAAATTTGGATTTTACTTAAGAGAAAATGGAAGAATCATGTTTCTGCTCCAATCTGATTTTCCCTTTGTTCAGTAGACACACTGCAGTTCACCTCAGACCAGGGTTGGTAAAAGAAAGCTCCATCTGGAAATCCTCGTTTTAGAAATGTTGAAATAAATATAGTTAATTCATACATACAACCAAACATTCCCCTTAAACCCTGACTAGAGCAGCTCAAAGGAATGAGAGTGGAACAGAGTATGATGGAAATGAAGCTTATGGTCAGGCAAACTGAGTCTGAATCCTGTCTCCACAAACTATTATGTGGCCCTGGGTGGCAGACTTAACTGCCCTGCACCTCAGTTTCCTTACCTGTAAGATGGAAATAAAGCCGTGAAGGACTTTAGAGATTAGAAATGATGACGCAAAGCACCGTGCACGGTGCCTGACATGTAGGAGGTTCACAGTGACTACTAAGTGGAAATGGATAGGCTTTGAAAGAAATAGGATGTGTTCTGATTCCAAATCCACCTTCTGCTTCCTTTCTGCAAGTGTGCTCCCCTTTGCCAGGAAGATGATGGCATATTCCTGTTTAGGCTCAGACAATTTACTGAGATTAAAAAGTTCAAAGACCACATAAAACAATCATTTCATAAAAATTGCACACACAGGCAAGTTCCTTGATTAAGAAAACTAATAATTTGTTACATAACTTCGATGGGATGCAAGTGAAATCCAAATTCTGCCAACAGCATGCTGCACTACAATGAGCTTGGGACTGGAAACTGGAGAGGTTCTAATGCAGACTCTATCTGGAACTTTCCATGAGGAACAACGCCTCTGGAACCCAGTCTATGTATTAATATAAATGAATGAGTTGGAGTGTGACCAACTCCAGCTAAACAAAACAAAACAAAACAAACCCAAGATTTTGCATGTACATTATGATGAAATCCAAAACAAAAGATATTTCACATCTTGGGAGTTATGTTAGCTGATAATCATTTGTTAGTGTCAGTAAAACTTTTATACTGGTTGTGTCTACATGTAAAAGTAACCTTCAGGTTCCTGTTAGGCAATAAAAAAACGTTTACATCTTTACTAAGTTCCAGCAAGTACTCATGCATGGAAGTAAAGTCTAGAGATGATAGTTTAAATTTCCAATGAGGGCAAGAGGCTAGATTTAAAAATAAATGAGTAGGATTCCTAGATATTATAGCTCACTAGCTAAGCATGTGCTTTAGACTAAGACACTACTTTATTGCTTATTAGTGGGGCCTGGAGCACATTACTGAATTTTTCTAAGCCTTATTTTCTTATCTATATGATGGGGGAAAGTGACTACTGTATTTCACTGCTGAAAGTATTATTGAGGTAACTTTGTAAAAATTCCTGATGTGCACTGACCACTCAATAAATGCTAGCTATTTAAAAAAGCCTATTAAAGTTGGGCATGGAAGTCCCAGCTACTTGAAAGGCTGAGGTGGGAGGATTGCTTGAGCCCAGCAATTCAAGGCCAGCCTGGGGACACAACATAGTGAGACCCTGACTCTACAAAATTAAAATGAAAAAAAAATTTAAAAATTGAAAAGCATATAAAGATCTTAACCCATGTACTTTTCACTCATTCTCTCTGCTTTAATCTATACGTAGGTAACTCTGAATTGAACCTATTTGTGATATGGTCCATGGGAAATGTATAGAAAGAAAGAATGGGTAGGAACAGAAGCAGCAAAGAGAAAAGAGCCTAGGAAGAGACAAAGAGTACCCATCAAGAAAGGCAACAAGGCAATTACGAGGTAGGGCAGAAAAAAAACAGTTAAGAGAAGTTAATGGGATTTATGATGGTAGGGCTCTGTGCAGACTGGGAAGGCCATATTTGTGGAGGTGGTCTCTACGGTCCTAGATGGTACATAAGGGAAAGGAGGCTTAATTTAAAATCAGAAGACTGGGGAAGGATGCTCTGCCCTGCTACTTACTAGGTTCTTATGTCAACATCTGTCACATTATTCCCCTCCTCTGTGAAATGAGAGGTTTGAACTAAGCTGAACTCTGTCCATCCCAGTTCAACACATTCTCAAATCCAATTCAGTCTTCCATAGCATCAAAATACCCTGTTAAAAAACACAGAGGCAACTTCTTACCAGTGATGTGGAGGAATCTCATGAAACAGTATTTCTTTTTCTGCTTCATTCCTCCCCCTCACATTTTCTAGCACTTTCTTTGTAACAACTCTCTTGCCATTTATGAACTGGCTACAAGTGGCAACCAGTCTGAAGTTTCTCATTCCACTGCTTACAAAGGGTACAAATGTCTCAGAGGTAGAGGTACTCGCTCTGGAGCCCAGAGATAGAAAAGTGGAAAATCCAGTATCTAATATGGGAGTCACATCAAAGATGGAGGAGTGGAATCTCCTGGCTTAACCCACATGGCCAGTGGAAATATCATCTCCTGAGAAGAGGTCTTCATCTTCAAAGACATTCTGAAAGACATGGTGTGGCCTCTCAAAGCATAGTTCCTCCTCCAAATGTTTTTTTGTCTCTGTCATCTCCTCTGTCTTCTCTTTTGGTTTGATTCCTTCTGAGTGTGTCATACTCGTATTTCCTGGCATCAGACAAGACCTCATGGGCCTCTGCTACTTGTTTGAATTTCTTCTCAGATGCCTCCTTGTTCTCTGGGTTCCTGCCTGGGTGTACTTGTAGACCCAACTGGCGATAAGCTTTCTTACTATCAGAGGAGGAAGCATTTTGAGGCATACCTAGTACTTTTAATAATTCACCATGTTTCTTTAAACAGTCTTTCCCCACAAAGACAGGGTTAATTTTCTGAAGAATTTCTATATGAGGTTGGAA